GGGGAATATAGCCGTTATAATAATAACCGTTATAATAATATACGGTTTAAAAGAATAATAAATATAAATTCCTAAAACTTATATCGTTTATAGGAATAAAATAGAGTTTAAGATATTTAATAACCGAAGAGTTGAGGATAAAAGAATAAGTAAAGTTATTACTCCGCTGGGCTCATAACCTGTTGGAACGGTAGGTAGGAATCTCGTAGATAGTACGATATCCTTATAACAGGGTATTAGAGTAAGGGAACTTGTACTTATGAAGTAGGGCTTTAATAGTAAAGAATGTATAGGCTTATATTGAAGCTGAGTTGGTTGAGGAACTAATAGCTAGCTAAGAGAGAGAATTAGGCTAGTTATATAGTAGTATAACGTCGCCTATAATAGCTAATATAGGAAGCTATAAGCTAGGTTTAGTATACGTAAGTATATACGTCAGCTAGCTTATAAAGCAGCTTATAAATCAGACTAGAATCTTCTTTAACTAAATAGACTTTTAGATAAGGTTAAAGAGAGTATTCCATAGGGATCTGAATATCATATGTTTAAACTAGCAAGCAGCCATTCTTAGCTAGTTACTTTTGTAAGTCCTACTAAGTCTTAGATAAGACTAAATAGGATAAATAAGTAAAATAGAAGTATAATATACTTATACTTCTAACATATAGTAATAAAGATAGCGATCTCTTACTAATGCCTAACCTAGAGGAGGATAACTAGCTATAGGAACTAGACTATATCGTTAGCCGTCGAATAAGGGGAGATAATACTTACTACCTTATTAAATAGAAAGGGTAGCTAGCAGAGTATAACTCTTAGGTATACTCTAGTAATATAGTTAGCGCCTAATAGGCAATATAGGACTATAAAAAGAAACGAAAGAGATAATCTAAAAAGAGCAAAACAAAGGAATAATATCAAGGTAGCGCGATACCTAAAAGAAAACCTCCCTTTCTAATACCTAACCGCCGGGATAAGCTGCCTATATAAGGCGATCCTAACTATCAGGACGTAACTAGCTAAGAGGATAGGAAAATAAATTAAAAGGGAGATAGAATACCGCTATTCGGGGTTAAATAGGATTATCTACTATAGTTATTCCTAAACCTACGATCTTCTTAAAAAAAAAGTCTTAAGCAAACCGAACGAAAATAAGGCGAATAATAAGCAAAAATAAGATAATTACTATCTAATAAGGATAGGAAAGCCGAACCTTAGTAAAAGGAAAGCTTAATAACGCGCTTTCGGAAAAGCTTGAAAAGATAAACTACCTACTAGTTATATCGCATAGCATAGCCTTAGGCATAGAAGATGCGAAGAAGTTCTTCGTAAGCTATCTCTTTAGCTAATTGCTAACCTATAAAGCCTATATCTCTAGGGAGGACTCGGAGGTAGAATTGCTTACGCTTTGCTAGATAAGAAAGTTAGAAAATAAATAAAGAATATAATAAAACAGGGTCTTTACTAGATAGCGAGGGGGACCTTTATTACGAGTAAAGGCTATAAAATCGTCGTATATCTAGTAGCGATAGTTAATAATTACCTTATAAGCTATAATAATCGCCTAACTAAACGTTAGCAAAGACCTTATAAATAAGTCGATTAGGAATATATATAAGTTTAGGCTGCTTAGAAGTAGTTATTCTATAATACTTACGGTAAGCGCTTTCTAAGGCGTCGTAGCTAATAAATAAGTCGCGCGTAATAAAGGAGATTTACTAGCAAATATCTCTATTATCCTCGTCTTAAACATAGTATATTAAGCGTTAAATAACTTTTTATAAAAAGAAATAGTCTTAATAGTTACTAAATATAAAGGATAGTATTTATAAAGATAAACGTTAGCTAATTACTAAAGATAAGGAAGGAAAATGCTTTACTTACTATAGTATATATATCTCCGCGATAGTTATATTACGTATAATATAAAGATTTTTTTAAAGTAAAAGAATACTTAAGGATAGCGACTTGCTTAGGATTAAAGACTATTCTATCTCTTTTACGATCGTATTTATATACTTCTATTATAATACGAATATAATAAAGATAAGGCTAAAAAGTAGTATTATTACTTTCTAACTAAGGGTTAGGAAGTTACTTACTAGGAGGAGGCGAAGGGAAGGCGTTATTAAAGCTAGACTCTACTATAGACGAGGGGGTAGGGGAGCGTTAAGCAAGGCTAGCGGTAGGCAGGGGACTAGGGGTCGAGTCGCTAGCGTTAGACTTATTACTATCGCCTTCCTTACTAGACTTGCTTGATTTAGACTTTTTAGTTATAGTTAAATTAGTAAAAATACAGTCTTAATCTTTACCTAGGGAAGGCTAACGCTTCTTCCGAAGAGCAGTATTATAACGATAGGTTTTCGCTACCTTTAAGGTATAAAGTCGCTATACCTAATTATGCTAATTGCTTTTTTTACTACTAAAAGTAAAGGTTTTGTTAATCTTGCTATTACGAACTCTGCCTTTCTCGCAAGGCGTCTAAGTCTAGGGTTTCTAAGGCGTTATACTATCTAATCGCGACCAAACGTCTAGAGAATAAATAAAGACAATCTCGAGAAAGAGAAAAATAAGGCGATTCTGCTAAAGATAAAGAGAAAAGCTAGCAAATAATACGTAAGTCGTAATCGATAGAAGAAGTAAACGCTATAGCAAGGATGTTAATAGAAAAGAAAAGTAAATAAATAAAGTAGGCGACGAGGAAATAAAAGCGCTAAGAAAAGGTTTTTTTTTAGAGAAAGGCTAGCCTGACTAAGCTATACCGAACTCTAAGCGAAAGCCTAACTAAGCCCGACCTAGAGCCCTACGCCTCGCTTAAAAAAAAGGAGGACCTACATTTTCTACACGCAAGTTGCTAGGGATAGCAACCATAATAAGGGGGTAGTTATAACAAGGCAAAGAGCTATAAGGCGCTATACTACTAGAAGCGCTATAGGGCGCTGTACTAAGAAGGTTAATATATATGTTTTACCTAGCAGGGCATAATACCTAGATAAAAGATAGGTTCTAGCTCTAGACTCTTGATCTAGAGGATTAAGAATCAGCTTTAGAAAAATACGATATTTATTACTATTATAACTATTCCTAGCTAAAACCTTATAATAGTTACGATATATTAAGACTACTAAACCTAACCTAAAATAGTAATATATCGAATAACGCGCTAGAGGGGCGTATATCGCGTTAATTTGCTAACCTAAGGCTTGTTTCGATTTATCTACTACTACCTAATACTAAGACCCCTTGCTAGAAGTAATAAAAGTACTAAATCAACGGATTCGATAGTAAATAGAATCGCTTAACCGAGGAATAACGTTTATCCTACTCGACCTTATAATAGCTAAGCTATTCGTTTTCGTTAATAAGTCGTTTGCTAATAACTACGACCTCTCCTCCTAATTAGGGTTTCTAATCATCCTAGCTAACGATACTTCCTCTAATAGTAATAATAGAGAATTTACGATTTATAATAACCTTATTTATTATAGCTTTACGAAAAGTAAATAAGTTACTTATAGCGTATTAGCGTTAGAGATCTACGGGATAGTTGCTAGCGTCGATATAGCCTACGCCTTCGCTATAACCCTAGCGATAATTACTAACTACCTTAACCTACTAACGATTTAGATAGTTATCTATACCGATTCTTATTCGCTATATAAGTATCTCGTAAAGCTAGGCATTATTAAAGAAAAGCGACTTATAATCGATATTATAGCGTTAAGATAATTATACGAAAGACGAAAACTATAAGAAATTCGTTAGATTAACGGCGAAGACAACCCTGCTAATACCCTTACGAAAAGCAAACCAAATCAAGCCCTCGAGAGATTCGTTAATAGCAATACGATAACGATACGTATAGAGGGATAGGTAACAAGACCGTAACTACAAGAGAAAGTAAAGATAGGAGGCTGAATTAACGAGGAGACGGAACTATATAAGGATAACGTATTCCAACCGCTTCAACACTATAAAAAGAGAGTTTCTAGTATTGCGATAGTTGGAATACGGAGTCGTGTAGCACTTCCAGCCACACGCCCGCCAGGCTGAGAGGCCCAAGCCTCCCAGACCCACGTGACAGGCCAAGGGGGAATATCCCCACCTTCTAGTCAACAACACCACTTTCAACTATCATGAACCATCGATTAGAACCAATTTACTGTTATTTGTTATTGACGAACGGAATTCCGTTTCACCCCCTGTGAAACCTACAGTCCAACCTACCTTACGCACAGTGAGGTTTACCATTTTGGTTCAAGTGACAAGGATATTTTTGGGTACCCATTCATGGCATCTGGCTCATCAGTTCATGTAGTCTAACATATTTTCTGGGTGGAATCGATAATTTGGAAAGCGATATATTGCTGGTTACCTTAGTTCTAATTGTACCACAAACGAAATCGGATCTGACCGTGTTCTCCACCCAGCTCCCAACCAACCACAAATTGATTCCAATTCTTTTAAGCACCTCACTTAAGAGTCCAACAAATCATCATCTTCTGTCATTGGGTTGTATCCAAAGCACGCATTCTACTCGTATTTGGCGGTGTGAGATGGGAGCTGCTGAGTCGATTCTTACATCCATGTCTTTCTGGAACTCGACGTGCAGATCAGGGTAGGTAGAAAGTGAGTTATAGTCAGTCAGTGGTCTCTCGTGTCAAAGCGTCGAGGTGCTCTGACCCGCCCCGCTGTTAGAGCCGTTGATTAGCTCTCAAACGAGGACGTCATTCCATGTAATGGATTATTCTGGGGAAAAAGCCAACTTTTGTTGTCATTTCCCTTCATTTTACACCAGCAACTTGGTCTATCGAGCTCCGGGAGGCTCATATGAGACAGGCTGCACAAAATAGTATTTCGTGCTCGTCTAGTCCCGGCCCTCCCCAATCTCTGACCCTGTGCACAACCCCGCGTGCCCCTGACGAACCATAACAGTATTCTCCGAGTGTCGGCCCAGCCTTATTCACCATATTCAGAACCTCATGCGACGTGTATAGAAGATGGCAACTCATGTTGAGGTAGAAAATGATGTAAGATTCGATACTTGTCTATGGCTTTAAGCATACTTACTGATTCAGAGATAGCTGTCAGACGCCGACTCAAGTATTGACGACCAAATGTATGGACACGCAATTTTTACCAATATTTCTACGTAGCTGACGTCTCAGGTCGGCGTATACGGCAACATTGACATCGAGCATACTCAACTACCCTGTGGAATATGGTCGACGCTACCATGCTTATCGATCGGGATGTGAGTAACGTGACCATTATCCAAGTTTTACTCTTGTACACACTTGAGCTATCTGGTCCATGGTGAGCTAATCCTTCCTTAGCCTACTTTGCACCGAACGATGAGGTAAAATAACCCAGTAAATAGGTATGCAATCACATAATCAGATACAGTCGCTAAGCAATCGACCTTTGAAGCACGAGATCGATCGGCTAGATTTTACCCATACCTTGATTTTGAAGACTCTTGGCGGCAAACTCTACATGGCACCGTTGGAAACCCACAAAGTCCAACGAGTTCTAGATAGTGGAACAGGCAGCGGAATTTGTGCGTGAGCTTTTGAATTTGTGTTTGAGAACGCACCTAATTACATGCGATTCAGGGGCTATTGAGATGGCGGATATGCTCGAAAATGCCGAGGTATTTGATGCCGTCTCTTAAAAGAAATTACCTGCCTTACCAAACTCTAACAGATCATTGGCAACGACTTGAGCCCTATTCAACCAGAGTGGTACAAAGCCTTCTCCGGCATGTTTTGGAAATGCCATCTAAAATGTTTACTTACTTTAGCACAACAGGGTTCCACCCAACGTGAAGTTCGAGGTTGATGACATTGAAAGCCCATGGCTATATCCATTCAAGTTCGATTTCATCTTTAGTAGGTATTTGGCAGGAGCAATTGGTGACTGGCCAAAACTAGTGGGGAACGTTTATGAGTACGTTTATCATCAGAAATCAGAGCATTCTAGTTACTAATTACGTGCCATAGTCATTTGAATTCTGGAGGATGGGCCGAGTTCCAGGATTATGACTTCTTGTTCAAGTCAGATGATGCTTCTCTTACGGAAAACCATTATACCTGGCAATGGAACGACCAGTTCGTCAACGCTACTACTAGCATCGGTCGCGAATCCCGTCCCGGCCCCAAGCTAGTAGAATGGGTCAGGAATGCTGGCTTCGTCGAGGTCCAACATTTCGTACACAAATGGCCAATCGGTCCCTGGCCAAAAGACCCTTACTATAAAGACCTCGGCATGTGTAACTTGGTACAGCTTCTAGCAGGGCTGGAAGCATTCACTTTCCGGGTCTTTTGTGAGGTCCTGGGATGGCCCAAGGAGAAAGTGCTGGCGATGCTTGCCAAAGTTCGTGAAGAACTAAAGAGTGACGCGTTTCACGCTTATGGAAACTTGTAAGCTGCCCCTCAGACTAATCGGGTTTCGTAGGCATTTAGCTGAAAGAGCTTACAGCCATGTGGTCTATGGTCGAAAGCCATGAGACACGGAAAAATGTGCCGCCATAGGTAAATGGTTTTACAGGACACTGATATAAGCGAGTCAACGGAGTACCCAGCGCTAACATACTTCCAAATTGACGAAGTGCTGGTATCAGGGGAGGTTGATATGCCGTTCCAACCTCTCCGCCTCCGCAATCCCCTCCGACCGAACCGACCCACCGTGCTAGCGGTCCGGCCCCGCCCGGCGTTGCTTCCGAAATGGGGCTATCGACGAATCCTGGTATTTGTCCGATGAACCTGTCCACTGACCTAACTACGGGCAGTGTAGCCCAGCCGGGGGCTTCCAGCGAACGCCCGACGAGGGCTTATCAACTCTAGGCAAACTGCTCGGCGCATATCGAATGACAGTTTCCTAGCGTAGGATTGGAAACCCACAACCACCATCTCCACCTCTGGTTTTTAGTGGCGGACAGATAAACGGAGGAACGGATTTTGGTCAAACGGTGCGGCTGTTTTTATTAAATAACACATTATCAGCTTTGGTTTCGTCGTTCGTTCATCCTGTTCTCGAGACATCTTATTGTGTTTCCCCTACACGCAGAAATGGCCAGTGATTCGACCCTGACCGTCCTGGCCGGTGTCGCACTCCTAACCATCTTGTACATTGTGTCATCGAGAGCCAAGAATGCCAACTCGTCCCCGAAACCCCTCAAACTTCCCATCATCGGCGATCTTCACAGCTCACCGCTGGAGAAGCCGCTTCTGCACTGGGATGCGTGGACCAAGATCCAAGGGCCAGTGGCCACGCCTAGACTCTTCGGCATTGTTCCGTTTGTAGTCCTCAATACGGCCGAAGCAGCAACTGAGCTCTTTAGTAAGCGCAGCGCGTACTACAGCAACCGGCCAAGCTCTGTTAGTATGGAGATGATCACCGGCGCGGGCCCAGGAAAGTCCAGGTTTACATTGATGCACGACTACGATTCGCATTTGAAATTGCATCACCGTATGCTATCGCCCAGCTTGGGCGCTTTGGCTGCTCCACGTTACCAGCCTCTCATGGAGTTGGAGTCGAAACAGCTTCTTCGAGATGTTCTGAGTTCGCGTCCAGGAGACAAAGGAGAGTTGGTAATGAAGAGCACCGAGATATACCCGCTGCTGGAGCGGACGCAGGGAAGCGTCATCTTGGGCCTGCACTATGGCATACGGGTGCCGAGCCACGATGATTCTCTCTTTAGCGAAGTCGTCGATACCCAGCATAAGGTCACTTATGTTGCTGCCAATCCCAGTCTCGTCGACTTCATACCTCCGCTACGCCGCCTCCCTGCCATTATCTCGCCTTGGCACCGGGCGGCTGATAAGTTATTCATCGCGCAAAAGGAACTTTATTCGAAACTGCTGGAAAGGGGGACAAATGAGCCTGGCTGGAACGCCACAAAGCAGGCGCGTGCCGTGGCTACCAAGCATATGGAGGCTGGGAGTGTACCAGACTTGGACCTCGCCTTCACCCTAGCAACCAGCATCCAAGGCGGTATGGAGACAGGACCGAGACAGATGCTGTGGCTACTTGTAGCCGTGCAAGAGAACCCCGGCTTCATGGCCAAGGCTCATGCTGTGCTGGATGAGGTTGTGGGCTGGGATAGACTGCCGAGGTTCGCGGATCGGCCCAAGTTGGCTTACATTGATGCTGTGGTATCCGAGGTAATGCGTTGGCGCCCGATCTCGCCTGGAAGCATCCCGCGAAGAGCAGATCGGGAAGATGAGCTTAACGGCACCCGAATTGCCAAGGGAGCAACGCTGTTTGCGAATGCATGGGCTATTGGGAGAGATTCGAAAGTATTCAGCGAAGAAAAGGGTGATCTCGGTACTTTTGTGCCGGAAAGATGGCTGGATGGAAACGCAAGAGTGCGTACGGATCTTCCATTGGCGGTGTTCGGCCAGGGTCGGCGCAGCTGCTTGGGTAAGCGTGTTGCGTTGGATAACACGTTCATGATGGTGGCAAGTTTATTGTGGGCTTTTGATATCGTGGCTATCGAAAAGATCGATACGATGGCTATGGACGTCACTGGTTTCATGACTGTGCCTTCCGAGTTCAAGTTCAGCTTTAAACCTCGTGGGCCTTGGGTTCAAGAGGTCATTCAAAGGGAATGGGATGCAGCGGAGACGGATTTGGAAAAGGTAATGGGGCCCTGGGTAGACATGGAGAGCTCCTAATGGAATGATTGAGAGACTCATGAGGATTCATTTCTGCTTCTGTTTATTGTCGCACAAGTTGTGAATCTTTCTGCATTCTCGCTGGAAATCCCCTCTCATATTTCGGCTTGACCAAGTTCACAGACTAAGTTATTGCCTGTTCGCCAGCTCCGTATCGTGCATTGTACGCCACCACATGTACCGGAACGATAGTGAATTCGGTGAAAAGGAGGTTACGGATACTTGATACTAAAATAAGGTTCGGCCAGCTCCATCATTATTGTCATGGTTAGCTTGTTGGCAAGATGCCTTGGCCCGTGTCACCACATTTCAAATGCCAAATAGTGACTCCGCATCCTGCGGACGGGGTTCATCCTGATGAGAACCAGTTAGGCTAGCTCTAGAAACGACTTGATGCGTTTCGCTCCTGGCTGGACTACTGTTCTCAGCATGATGTCCGTTTTGCAACGCCAAGATCTTGCATTGGGCATCGAATGACTCAAATAGCTTCATGGAAGGACTCAATACCAATCGTACCTACTCAAGATTACTCTTGTTTGAATAATCTCCTACCGAAGGACAGCACGAAGAGGTGGGATGGCCGGTGCTGCAAATAAAAGGTCGTGTTCACCATGGAGTATGTAAAGGGGAGTAAGAGAGAAACCAGGAGCCAAAGGGTTTCAGCCTGTTTGTTGATTCGCAGAGTATCATCTATTTACTTTTTATTGATTTTTTTAAGAAAACGCCGAAATAGTTTACCTCGCTCCATCATCTCCAAGTCACAGCTATTTCTAATCGGAACGCCGATGCAGCCGGCGTCTGTATCACCGTAAGACTCCCCCCTTCATGGCTCCATAAGATGTCTTCTTAATCAAGTACAGGGTAACTGTTAACTGAAGATGCAGAATCCCTTGTTTGTTCGTCAGTTTGAGACGTGGAAATGGGGAATGATGAGACGGCATGTGCGTCGGCAAACCGGACGAACGGCAGTCACTTACTCTGATGAAAGTTGGATGCAAAAGGTCGTACTAGCCAGAGCCGCATACACAACCCTCGCGAAGCGCAGGGTTGATATTGGGGAAAGGAAAGCATTGACGGCCCTCGGCTTCACAGTTTTCGCCTGCGACGCCGCAGTTGTTGTCTTTGCAGGGGCCAGTATACTGAGCAGCAGAGACAGCAACGAAGGCAATGGCAGTAACGAGTATGCCGCGCATCTTGGCTGTATTATCTGAGGCGAATGACAGAAGAACGGGCTTGAACGGTCGAGGTAGAGAAGGGATGGCTTCCGAGCGTAGGTATTCGGATGAAAGGAGAAGCGAGCTGAGAGTTGATACTTGAACTATGAGATTGAAGCTGTGCGTTCGCTGCGATTATATACTCTTATCTGACCTCAAGCGTGCGCTTGGTTCTCGCCACGCGATATTTGTGGAACTGGGAGTCTTGGCGATTAGGCCTTGGAATTGCTCAAGTATCCCAGCTTCCGAGCCAGCTTCCGGATACAGTACGCCGTTAGCTATATCGGCAGATTGTTTTCACAGTAGCTTGAAGTTGGGATACTATGGCGTGCATCTAATCGCTTGTTCCTATCCTGCTGCTTCTGTTTCTATTCAAAATCTTAAGATTTCTAATGTGATGTTGAAGCCATAGTCAACCAGGCTGTGGATGTCAACGACTACCGGACATCAAGCCTAGATACTATCATATTATCCTGGACCTTTAAAGACGCCATGGTTGTTTTTGCGCTACACTCGTTACAGATCCTTTCATAGGGTGTAACGTTTTCTTCGATCTTGCTATGTCACATCTGAGGTTTTGATGGAGGATTCTCCGGAGGCTCTTGTTTTTTAGGGTGTTACTTCATGCGATTGATTGCGCCTTTGGCACTCACTTTCTCAGCCCCTTTTTTTGTTCTATGAATATTCTAAGTGGCGTCTTGTCTATTTGAAGGTGTGCTAATTGAGGCTCGAATTCCCATCCCTGGTGTTGTAATCGGATGGTGGCCCGAAGGCTTGGCTGCACCTTGGCGAGTTTGAGGTATTATCGGTTTCTCAGGAGGGAGTGGCAGCAGGATTTGGGGTCACTATCCGTCATTGCTGAGTAAAGAAGGTTTTTATGCTGCGGTTCAGTTGTGTCTTGGCGATGAACGTTTCAATTATCTCTTGGCTTCTACTTTGGCACGGGATGCTGTCCGCGGCTTGGGTGAAACAACAGTCTTTTTTAAAATAGGACATCTCTCCTTGACTGTAGTGACACTGGCTGTGGATTGACGTCTGATGGAATGTGAGAACCACGGTTGTAAAACTGGTCCTCTTCACTGAGTTGAACGTCAAAATAGCACAAGAGAGTGTCAAGCCCCTGCCTCGTTGTTTTGGTCGTGGCGGTGGTAGACATCCTTATACTCGCGGCCTGTGTCAGTCAATAGTCGTGGCCCTGAGAGCTAATGTGACATAGGCTCATTTTGAAACACGACAACGGGGATGAATGGGACAGGGTTGGGGTCGGAAAGTCGCGCTCTGCGATGCGCTACATGGATTCGCACATCATTTTACCGTCAGTCTAGGTCACACTACTTCTTTACTTGCCGCATCCGACTTTCTTAACGATGTAAGAAAAGACGAGTTGAGGAGATATCAGCGACAGGACCGAGTGTAGCACCGTAGAAACTTCAAAAAACGCCGGGTTGCTTGGCACAATGTGAATGTTCGAGGCTTTATTTATTCCCCGGTGACTCATCGCCGGAACTTGGGTACAGGTCCCGTGGAAGAGCATTCCCTTAAAGAGAAAGTGGCGGGAACTGGGTGCAGGCCGGAGGGGTGGGTCTCAGTACCGGAGGCCTATGGGGCCCCGCACTGGGGTCCGTCATTGAGCGGAACAAACACCTCCGCTACCTATTTTCCGGTCTTCCAACTACCTTGGATATGTCTTGATTTTTTGACATACCGATAACAATGCAGAGTACCGTTATGTTTTTCAATCGACGAAAAACAACCATTAATCAACGAGTCAAGTTAATGTCAAGATTATGACGTGCATAGCAGCAATTCTACGCTGATTAGAGCGGTTGGCTGCTCCAAGACATTGAGAATTCCAAATGAGAGTCCAGCGGCTCACATTGCCATCTGTAGTCCAACAAGTCCTTCATATAAAAGTAGCCGTGGAATTGTCGTTGCTGCAGTCGTATGAGCTGAGTGGCTGGTACCTGGGTAAGCACTTAGGTCACGTATTGCTTTTCTTTTTCCGTAACAGGTAAGTCGTGGTAAAAAATCCTTTCTAGGCTCACTGCAGACGCCACCAGAGCTTCCCCACCTCTTCTCTACTGTGCCGCACAACCAATGTTGCCCGGTGTGACTAATCGGAGCTGACGAACTGTTATTGGTTGCTAGAAACTCTTCCGCTTAACGCTTCATGATGTCCACAAGCTCTGGATGACATAAAGCCCCAGGCAAGGCTTCAGTTAACGCCTTCCAGAGCTCAGGCTGCTTGCAGTAGCCACAGTCTCTCGCCACGATGAGCTCTTCATGCACTAACGACGATACACTGGGTCCCGTCGTCCATGGTTGCCGTGATGACTTCGATTTTACCGTAAAGTTCGAGCAGGTTTTCTTGTCAATCCTGCCTTCGGCAATATTCATTCTTTTCGCGCTATCACGTTACCTCGTCCTACCTGGCAAACCGAAAGTTGCTACTGGGCCCGTATTGCAATGGCTGAAGATCGTTAGTATCACAGGACAAGATTGTCTGGCCTTATTCTGATTCCCAAGCAGTTGTTCCTTGCCTTGTATGCAGGTCTTCGATTGCGTCGACTGGTTTCAACAAGCCACGGCGCGTCATGGACAACCGAAATGGCTATCACATCCGACGTGGTGAACTTCATCGCCGGTCTTGTCATGATTCCCCTCTCAATTTTGGAACATTCTCGGTCACTCCGACCGTCGATCCTACTTGGGATCTACCTCCTCATCACCCTTATTTTTGATCTTGTTCAGTTGAGGACGCTATGGCTCTCAGTAGAATCTGATACCGACTACCGGCAAGCCTATCTCTCGGCCGCGACGGTCGTCATCAAAGCTGCAGCTTTGGTACTCGAGTCTTTTCAGAAACCCCTGGCATGGCACCTTGAACAGAAGCCACGAAGCCCAGAAGAAACAGCCGGTATTTTCAAGCTTGCAACATTCTCTTGGCTAAACGGGCTGTTTCTCAATGGCTTCCGCAACCTCCTCACCGTCCGCGACCTGTATCTGCTCGACGAAGCCATGACCGCCGAAGTCATGTACGCTAAATTCGAACCACGTCTGCAAAAGAACATTAGCCTAGGCCGCAAGCATGCTCTCCTCAGGAGTCTTCTTGGCACACTCAAAGTACCCTTTTTCCTACCTGCGGTGCCACGGCTCTGCCGCATAGGGTTCCTGTTTTGCCAGCCTTTTCTAATTGAAAGCCTGTTGAAGTACCTTCAGGAACCCGATGGCCATTCATCGCCTAGCAAGGGGTATGGATTCATTGGCGCCGCGACATTAACTTACGTCGGCCTGGCTGTGTCACAGTCCACATACTCCTACTTACTCGGCCGTTCCCTCTTCATGATGAGAGGAGTCCTTGCCTCTGTTGTTTACCGCTACACAACAACACTAAAGCTCTCCGCGGCGGATGATTCAACGGCGCTAACACTCATGAACACCGATGTAGAGCGTTTCCAGATTGGTATAGGATTCTTCCACGACTACTGGGCGAACCCTACCGAGATTGCGATCGCATGCTGGTTACTGCAAAGACAAATTGGCGCGGCCTTTTTAGCTCCCATTGGTCTCATAGCAGCATGTGCCGCAGCCGCGTTACTGCTTTCCAAGTTTATCATCCAGCGCCAGATAGTATGGATGCAGGCCATTGAGAAGCGAGTCGCCGTGACCTCCAAAGCAATCTCAACCATGAAGGCGCTGAAAATTTCCGCCATGACCGGCCCTGTAGAGAAGTCTATACTGGGGCTCCGGCTGCGTGAGCTTCGTGACGGTGGGAGGTGGCGCACGACGCTCGGCATGGTAGTAACGATTGCCTTCGCGCCCACCCTGCTAGGGCCGGTCGTGGCATTTGCTACTACATCTTCTGTTCTCGACGTCGCCCGCATTTTTACATCCATGGCTTACTTGGTGCTTCTAGCTAGCCCATTGGGGATGCTCTTGCAATCCTTTGCCATGTTTGTCGGGTCACTTGCCTGCGCGGGTCGCATACAAGCTTACATTGAAAAGGAAGCACGCGTTGACTTCCGCAAAACATTTGACCCTAAGAAACCTGCAGCGCAGCATAACGGGGCTCTTGTTTCTGATTCAAAGGCCACAGCTATTAAAGTCGTACAAGGCTCCTTTGGTTGGGAGGAAGAGAAGAATATCCTGGAGAAAATCAATCTTGAAATTCCTGCGTCCTCGCTGACCATCATCGTTGGACCTATAGCGTCAGGAAAGTCAACGCTGTTGAAGGCGCTCCTTGGGGAGACAACCTTTCATTCCGGGGACGTGATCTTTGGGGCCAACAACCGCAGCATAGGCTACTGCGACCAGTCTCCTTTTCTTTACAACAACACCGTGAAAGCCAACATCATCGGCCACTCCGCCTTCGATCAAGAACGCTATGATCAAGTAATAAAGGCTGCAATGTTATCGGCCGACCTCGCTACGTTACCCAAGGGAGACGGCACAAAGATCGGGAGCAACGGTGTGACTTTGAGCGGCGGCCAAAGACAGCGAGTTGCCCTCGCGCGCGCCCTCTATGTAGACACCGAGCTTCTACTTTTCGACGACGTTCTTAGTGGTCTTGATGCCAACACGGAGGAACACGTCTTCCGCAGTGTCTTCGGCCCCAACGGTATAGTCCGCTCAAGGGGCGTGACGGCAGTACTTTGCACCCACTCGGTTCGACACCTACCATCGGCCGATCACATCATCGCTCTCGGCGCGGATTCCACCGTGGTAGAGCAAGGGACTTTTGCCGACCTCAAGGGTAACGGCAAATACATCCAGAGCTTGAAAGTACAAGAAGCGGAAGGCGCCCCCAAAGAAACCAAGGACACAGATGCCCCTGAATCTGACCCCTTGACGCGGACCAAGACTGCAGGTTCCATTACGACAGACGGTCCAGATGCATCGCGGCGGGTAGGCGACTTTTCCGTCTACAAATACTGGTTCGGCACAATGTCGAAGCCGGTAATCGCGGCGTTTTTGTTCTGGAATTGCGGCTACGGTGCCACCTACGCCTTCCCAACAGTATGGCTCAAGTTCTGGTCCGAAGACATCACGTCACCGCATCCAACACACTCATGGTCATATTACATGGGAATTTACACACTCTTTGAGTTCTTGTGTCTGTTTTGCCTGGGCATGGCTGTTATCACTTGCTTGCGGCCAATGATCTTCCAGTCAGGGGGGGAACTTCACAAGCATGCTCTCCGTACGCTTATTGGCGCGCCCCTGAGGTATTTGACTGTGACAGACGCGGGCACGATGACCGGCCTGTTCGCTCAAGACATCACCTTGATAGATGGCGAGCTGCCCATGTCTTTTATCAACTTCTGCCTTGGCTTCTTCACTTCATTGGGTATGGCGGCTGTCATTTTGACCTCGTCGCCTTGGATGGGCATCTCCTACCCGCTTCTCGTCGGATTGTTGATCTTGGTCCAGATGTTCTACCTTCGAACATCGAGGCAGTTACGATTGTTGGATCTTGAAACCAAAAGCCCCCTATAGTAAGTACCATCTTCTTTATGATTTTTTATTTTTTTTTCATCTTGTCTGACCACCATAGCTCTCACTTCATGGACACCCTCAAAGGCTTGGCGACCCTTCGAGCCATGGGGTTCATCTCTGCCGATATCTCAGTCAACAATGAACTCGTCGACACCAGCCAGAGACCCGCCTTCCATCTCGCCCTGATACAGGGCTGGCTGGCGTTCATGTTGAGGGCCATCGTCGCCGTCATCGGAATTGCCGTGGTGACGCTGGCAACCCAACTTCGAGCGAACTCGGGTTACACAGGCGCGTCTCTTGTGACTATCATGTTGCTAAGTGACGCTCTGACGATGCTTTCGGCCGCCTACACGTCCGTCGAGACAAGCATCGGAGCCGTGACTCGCATCAAAACATTCCAGTCAACAGTCAAGCCGGAATCGGGTCCTGAGGAGGACGTGATTCCCAAGGAGAACTGGCCGGAGAGAGGAGCCATAGAGATCAAGGCAGTCTCAGCTTCGTACGATGCACCCCGGGATGCGGAGGACGCCGCATCGCCCAATAATCTGGCTCTTCGCGATCTGAATCTCACCATCAATCCCGGCGAAACAGTGGCTGTGTGTGGGCGGACGGGAAGCGGCAAGTCGTCTCTCGTCCTCCTGCTCCTCCGGCTGTTGGACCCCATGCCGGATTCCACGGGTGGAATCACCATAGATTCGGTTTCAGTGGACAAGGTCAACAGAGATGCACTGCGCAAGCGCATAATCGCCGTCTCTCAAGACCCAATCTTCCTCCCAGACGGCGCTAGCATTCGTAGAAACCTCGATCCGTCCGGAGAATCAGACGAGGCGGATTGCAAGAGCGTCCTAGAGCTGGTCGGGCTGCTCCCGGCAGTTGAAGAACGGGGCGGCCTCGATGTCGCGCTCACAGCAGAATCGTTCAGTGCCGGTCAGAGACAGCTGTTTTGCCTCGCGCGCGCTGTTGTTCGCCGGCGCGTGAGGAGCCGGAAGGGCGCTCAGGGTGGCATTCTGCTTCTCGACGAGGTCTCTTCCAGCGTCGACCGGGCCACCGAGATACAAATGCACGAGGTCATTCAGCATGAGTTCAGGAGATACACCGTCATAATGGTGTCTCACCGGCTGGACACGGTTATGGATTGTGACACGATTGTGGTTATGGACAAGGGCCGCGTGGCGGAGAAAGGGGAACCGAGTGTGTTGAGGGAGAAGAGGGGCGGCATGTTTCGTGAGCTTTGGAGCAAGAGCAAGACTACGGAGGAATAATAGCTGGCTGGTTTGGATAACAACACCGTGTTGGGGCGTCGAGATACCATCTCCCCTTTGACCCCTCCCCCCTTCGAAGCTATCTGGCTTACACTACTGTCCACTTATTTCAACGTTGTAGTAGGAATAGAAACCTCTCTCTTTCTATACGACCATGTTTGATTCACCATGACACAGGTGAACACCAACTCTGTCTAGCTGTTATAAATCTTTCAGAAAACTACACATCATTGGCCTTGTTCTTACATCAGAGTGTAAACTCTGGTGTCGATATCAACGACACTGCCGTCAACAGGTAGAACAAAAAAACTAGTTCTCCTCGACAAGTTGCATCTTACACCAAGATAGACCCGTGACCCAGACCTCATTCCTGTATCCAGACGCCAAAGTTTCACAGAAAGATCGATTACAATCCTCGAAACAACATACTCCCTTGACTTACCCTCGTTCTCGCATATCCCAACTTGAAAGTCCACACACACACACCCCATATCACACCGCAACCATCACCAGAACCACAGATCCGCACCCAAGACCCTGCAAACTGCGTCAGAACCGCCGTCATCGCTCAGGCGGCCCACCAAACTAGTCCCCCCCCTCCCGCCAGGGACCTGTCGACGCGGCGAAGGCCAATGGATCCGTGCCGGGGGCCACTTGGAAAGACCGGGGATGTCCTCCCCGGGCGACGATTCAGTCGGCCGGCCGAATCGGTGCTGCGTTACATTTGTTTATCGACACTCCTTTTTTTTTTTTTTTTTTTTTTTTTTTTTGGTGCCGTGTTGGTGGACAATGGACTTGACGCATGATTTTTTTTTTTTTTTCAACTTCTTCTTTGGGAACCGACTTCAACTTGACATGTTGCCACGGAACCATTGCGAGAGCTCCCTCATCGGATTATCTTTTTCCTTGTTCGATGCGGGAAAATGTGGACTGGTGAGATATATATCCCCCCCCATCAAGGGTTTTGGGGGGGTACAGTGACAGTATCATGTCACTGCTGGCATTCCAGGCCTTCCAGGCGAGGCTTCAGCTCTTTTACTTGGCTTGTCCCGGATATGATCAGCGAACTCTGGATTTAAACATCATAGCTTCCGAGGGAGCGTCGTTGTGACATAGTATAGATGGGCGCTAGTGAATGATGTCAAAAAAAAAAAAAATGGTACTTGGCATGATATCAGACGTGTTATATCGTACCCAGATTCTGGTTATCGCTGTGCTAAACATGTTCGGGCAGAACCAGGTAGTAAATTCAGATATTGTAGCAACATACGGAAATCCTGGGTAGTCACTCATTGCCGCTTTATGCCATGCCGGGCTGTTGTCCAAGCTTGGAGCTGCGTCCATCTAGCAGGAGGGAACTACATCCAACCAGCCAGAGCCAAGGGATGACTTCCCAAATACAAAAGTCATGTAGTCGTGACACGTACCGCAAACCTCTAGTCCTAGCTTCGCATATCAGATTAACTCATGGAGCTCGCGCGACCCTGCGGCGCAACCATAACCACCCACCCCCAGGTGAACCGTCACATCACCGACGTCATGGCTATATTACCTGAGCTCAAACTGGCGTCAAGTACAGCGGAGTCTCCTGTGAGGGGGATGGATGGATAGATGGGCAATGCGCGACAATCCAGCGAACTACCAACTTTGGATGATTAAAAAAATATCGCATCAGAGCTGAATCGTGCTGGAGTTTGCTCAGCACAGAAGAGAAGAGGAAAAAAAAAAGATCTGATCTCGATTCATCGAGCGATCCCGTGTCATCCTGCCTAGAACGGAAGAAGAGCGTGCTTCCGATACGTCATGGCAGCCTGATGAGGCGCTACCCCTAATTCACACACCAGCGATCGACAAAAGATAACCGCAAAAAGAAGAAAAAAGGGGCCCTTTGTTGGCTGGTGCGACCGTGCAACCGATGTAGGATGGCCGCCGGGCTCTCACCATCGGTAAGGGTCATCACGGCCTTGGATCGTTTGGTGTTTGGGAGATCAATGAGATGCGCAAGCGAGATGCAGTTTGTTTGATGTGTACTGTACCCTCGGGGCAAGGGGACGCGGAGGAGGAGGAGGAGGAGGAGGGGGGTAAAGCTGGTCCCAGTTCATGCGGGATTCCTCACGCATTCCGGGCGATCATTGGGAAATCCCCCTTAAACGTCACGGAACGTTTGGGACAGAGTACTGGGAAAGAGATCGTCCGCGACCGGCGCAATTTCAAAGGGGGAAGAAGATGGAGAGAGAGGACAGGCCTGCCCGTCCTTGGTTGCACGGATCGGCAGCCAGGGCAGCTTGCTGCTGCACACCCCCAATTCCAACTCTTCCGTCTGTTGTCTGGTGCGAAAGCGACCTGCCACCTCGAGAAATACCTCCTGTCTCTCAATTCCCATATTTTGCTTTTCTCCCGAACCCTCCAATCCCCTTTGGCCATTTACCCCCCGGATGACGGATTGAGGTTTCCTGACCAAGCCATCAAGCCATCCGTCCTTTTGCTTTCGGTTGGTGGTGCCGGGAGCTACACCCGGGCCCGGGATGAAGGGTAGTTGGGGGATGTGGCCGACTGGAATGGGCGACGCAGCTGAGGCGGAACGTTGCGTTGCGGTATGTCACTAGGCGGTGAAGAGCCGTCACCGACTCTGCCGACGAGGGATGCCGGCTCAGCGACGTCACATGTCGAACGCCGTGCAGTAGTTGGTCCAGCCAAGTGGCGGCCAGCTGCAACTCTCTCCAGCGGTGGCTGCCAGCCGGTTCAGCCAGTAGCGGGTGCCCTGTAGGTAGACGTAGAGTAGAGTGGTAGAAGAGTGGTGGTGGCAATCAACAACGGCGGCAGCCAGCAGCAGCAGCAGCAGCAACAGCTTTCTGCCGTTCCCGGAATCGGAGATGCTCTCTGCTCGGCGGGGGAGTGAAAATGCCTGAGGCAATTTTACATCATCAGCACTTATAAGCCAACCAATCAGGTCTCAGCGATAACGGTGCAAACACAATGGCCAATAGACGTGGAGGACCCTGCATTAATTGATTAAGCGCAGGGATGCTGAAGCATGGCATGCAGCAGGGATACCCATTTGAGGCAAGGCGCGTCCGTGCTTTTTGCGAAAAGTGGTCCGTTATCTCGATTCGCGGCGCCCGATTTTCCCTCCTTCCCAGCCAGCCAGCCAGAAAGAAAGAAAGAAAAGAAAAAAGTTGGAACGGAGGTGTGTCCCAGCGTCTCGTCTCTTTTGCCCATTTTGTTGTATCCATCCGTATCCGTCGTGTCTGTCCCAGCGAAGGAAAATAATCCCCTCATTATCCCGTACTTTTACCCGTTCGCCGCCTCCTTGGGACCGCCTATCCTTGATGGAAGGAGGGGCGTGAAGGCAGTCGTGATGGTGTGGTGGAGGAGCTCCCTTCACTGCCGATGCGACCCAACTTCAAAACTCACCGACTTTAGCCCACAAGGCCAACAACGGAGAAACACCAACCGCTCGTTTTTAGTATACCAGACACACTGGCGGCAGACCACAGCACCATGAATGTACTTCCGGCAATCTGGCCTGTTTTTCTTGCTCTTTGCGTATCACTGAAACCAACCACCTCCCGACAACACCCCTCCCCGTCTCCATCAGTTACCCTCGCGCAGATGAGGCTCGTTTAACGACGACATGTCTCATTTTGGGGTTCATCTGGGGAAGACCACGTCGGTCGCACGTGAGAAGTAACCGCAGTAGGGATGATGGCGGCAGCGTGACTGACCGCAAAAGCCTGGGGAACTCGAAATATGTCTTGCCTGCAATCATCTTACTGGCAAAAAAAACGCGGCTGTTTTTTTATTTTATTTTTTGGTAGTAGTAGTACGTACTCCGTACTCCGTAGTAGGGTAGGGATTTTCTTTTTCCTGATCCTGTCACCAAAGGAAGACATGCACACCTCAGTCAGCGTACCCACCGCCTCCCGCAAATAAGAAAGCAAAAACCTGCCGAAATGTCTGTCTGGGCCAGCCGGCCGTGAGCTTTACTCGGCCGGCAAGAGAGGAACGTACTGTATTGATCGTCGGGGTTGTCCAATCATCTTACAGGGATAAGGGAAAACCGTCAACGGAAATGTCGGTGTCCCGTTTAGAATCTCGGTCCTTGGCCGTCAAGACTCGTGTCAGTTCGAGAGCCTGTGTGTACATTGTGTTGCGCCCCCAAAGTCTTCATCGCTTGTGTCTCCCGGTTCTCTTGGACGTCACAACCGCGGTCGACGCTTCGGTCCTTTGTGTGTTTCGCATCCTCGTCAACGCCTCATCGGCTGTCAGGCGGACGGCGGCAGCAGACCTGAACAGCCTCGGCGCGGACTTAGCTGTCAAAAGGGGACGAAGACCGAAGGCCCAAAGGAAGAGCCGCCGAGGGAGCGGGATAGGCTGGGCGGCGGGTGGGGTCGGCCAGATTCCGGGGATTCTTCTCTGGCGGCCTGCGTGTGCAAGGCACAGCGCTCTTCGGCGACAGCGAGAGTGAACGGACTGTCGTCGCAAGGCTGTGGCGAAAAGAAAAGGGGACAACCCAAAGCACCGGACGAAACCCCATCAATGCTGCGCAGCGGTCTTGCCTGCAAAGCACCCCCGCCACATGATTCTACCCGCTCGGGCGAGGCGGCAGTGACCAGCAAAGCCAACCTGTCGTCTTCGTCGCAATTATCCCTCTCTTCGGTGCCACTGAAAAAAAAACCCACGGCGACGCGCCTTCGCGGGCGGGCCCTCCTAGCAAGCTATTTGCAAATGCCAAGTCAAAGTGTACCCACAAACGGCCCTCATCTCCAGGCTTCTGGAGGTGTTCTGGAGGCAGTGGAGCGTGGGAGTGCAAGTGGACGAGTTCCACCTCTTGGCAGATGGTTGGCTATGGCTGTTCTTTGCTGAAGTTTCTGGATCTCTTCTTTTCTGCACCATGTTCTTGATCGGGACCAGCTCCAAGCTCAAGCTGGCCTCTTTGCCTTTTGGCCTTTTGAAAATTGATGAGCTTGGCCCCGCCAGGTCTCCATTGTGGGCGGGAA